CTCTAAACCTATTTCTTCTGGACTCAACCTCATCACAGGGTATTGTGCCACCCCAAACGCAAGCCCTTCTTTTTCTCAATCCCAACATCCAGACTCTCAGGAAGCCCTGACTGCTGTACTTTCACAATACGCCCCTTACCTTTCCCCGTTTCTCCATCACCATTGTCACCGACATCACTTCTTCCCTCTTCTGCTCCCAACGCTCTCCCTGAATCCCACTCTGTGCCCCTGCAACCCCTTCTCTTCATGACAAAGTGGCATTTTAAAGCTCATCAGATCAGGTAACCTCCCTGCTTTACGTCTTCGTCTTCTCAAACTACTACATTGCACTGGATCCAACTTGCATTTTCTATTACAAATCGCCCTAAATATCTAGACGTCTGTAGGTCTGGATCGGAGCTTTAGTTGGTACGTAGGGCATTTACATCCTTTCATTTGTAACTTTTTACATGTCACGAGTTGTAATCACTGCAAAGTGGGGATTTTGCTATATAGTCATAATTTATGATTCCTAAGCGCTTCCACTGTGCCGAGTCCTTTGGCAATTATCTCATTAATTGTCACCCTGTATTAATCAAGTTTTGAGGTTTTCTATTCTGTGTTTTAAGATGCTGTGACATCTTGGAGGCTTGCAAATTCTGGAGAGACTGTCTCTCCCAGGGCTAATTTCTAGAGATAGCAAACAACTTGCCTTTGGCACGTCCTTCATATGCAAACCAACCCAGTGAGAGCCCACATCCCTAACCATTTCCTGTACCCAGTGGTCACACACCAAGCCAATGTGTCCCCTGCCCTGAGTCACCCCAGGGCCAGGTACTGGACAACTAGAGACCACATCCAGAGTCCGGGCCTGCCACAGTTATTCAAAAAATCCAGCCCGAAGTCTGCTCAAGCTTGCCCTCCCCACCTTTTGCCCATTCCTTCTCCTGGAAACCACCATCAGGTCTCTGGACCTTGCTTTCTCCTTGTTCTTTCTGCTTCCTCTCTCCCCATGTGGCCCTGCATAGTGTGGTGTGCCCCTCCTCCGGGGAACGCCAAGGAATGAACTCTTCTTTCAAGACAGTTTTTTCCACGTCTGCCATCTTACCAGACCTTACAACAGAATCTTGGGGACGTTTCACAAAACCCCCGAACCCTATGAAATAGGTGAGACGGGTATTATTAGATACCAGTCACACAGCTGAAGGATCAAGGAGTCAGTATCTGATTGGACAATCCAACTGCAGAACCGATACGCTTAGTACTCTAATCCGTCCTCATTTAATTTGTCTTCATATGTGTCATCAAATACCCAAAAGAGGTTTAACCGGGGGTTTCCCTATCATAGTACTCGGTCAAGAATCTCATAGAAATCTCCTGCTATAAACTACCTGTTCATTGTTCATTGCAAAGCTCACCCCCTTTTAACTTTCCCATTTCAATCTGGTTTGGCCTTCCAGTCTCTAAATGGATGTACTGGTCCCTAGCAATGCCTTACAGATGAATGAAATCTCCCCCACCAAACTGTAGACAGGCATAGATTCACACAAAAATCAGACCTCTGTAGTTATTCCTCTGATTCCCTAGCCCTTAAGTTCATGCATTCACCCACAAATATTGAACCAGGAAGCCGACTTACAGAAGAGAAAGGTGACGGCCCCATTCTCTAGGACTCTGGATACCTAGAGCTGGGGGGAGTCAGCCCTGCAGAAATAAACAGTTTATCCTTTTCCCAAGGGCAGGATTTGTTACATGTTATTAAGAACAGATAATGCCTCACTTCATCCTGTCTCTGCCTCTCTTCTTGCCCTGCCCGCTCTCCTGCCACCCAGAACCTCATGTTCTTTTCTGCCTTCCTTTCTTCTCCAGTGACTCCTTCCATCTCAAGTAATCCTCCACGGGCTGGTTCAGCCTTTGGCAACAGCCCACCTGCACCTCCTGAGAAGCCCTAGAACCAGCAGGTGCGTGAGTTGGCCGTGTCACCCGTGTGCCCGGCAAGCAAGCAGCAGGAGCTGCGTGACTTGTACGGCAGCCTGACCCATCCCCAACGGCTCCCATCCTTGGTGTTCACGAGACAAACTCTGTCATTGAAGAACATCATAAGCCCAGCCCCAGTTCTCAGCTTTGCACAGATTAAAGCACTAAAAAAGTCTTTCCAGGCTGTTGATAGTGGACAGGAGCATCTCGGAGTTTAGAGGATTATGTACAATGTGTATACAGAAAACCCAGGTACGCTCAGGTCTTAAGGAAAGATGTGTGTCATTAAAACTGGTGGATGATCCCAAAATAAGTTCTTTGGCTGCTCTCTGAGGCATTGCCTCTCCTCCCAGCATCATGACCCCTCTCAGCCAGAAGCTCACTGGAGAGTGTACTGCTTGTCCCTGCATTATTAATGTCTGCATTCTGGGAAGGAGAGGCCACGTACTTTCACGCTATTAAAACTTTTAAAACATAGGTGGCATAACTAGTGACAAGTATTCTTTCTTCCTGAGGTACGATGCTCTAATGAAAAACTTTAGACCTAAGATGTATGTGGTTCTCTTTTTACAGGGGCCAGGGGACGGGCGGTATTTATTTATATTACAGTATTTATCATAGTATAGTATATAGTAGTACAGTATTTATTTGTGCCCAGCTTTTATAACTGAGAACAGGTAGCACACTTTTGTGCCCTTCAGCAACGAACACAATTAATGGTATAAGTTTAAAGCTTATTTTTGAATTACACTTCATTGCAACAGTTGTTCAGAGCCCAGGCTAATTTTACAAAAGGATTTGAGAACGAACGGAGTAAAGCAAATGCATGTAGCGACTATTAAATTATGATACAAGGGCAGAAGCCACATAATAAGGGGTGGCTTTTGTCAGGGGGAGCAGAAAGAAAGCCTCTTGCCAGGCCCAAGGAAAGCCTGAGATTTTCAGTTCTTAACCAAAGGAAATGCCTCCATACTCCAAATTGACAGGCTGGGCTCTAAGAATGCCTTATCACCAGGTCCCCTCCGGTTACGGTGATGGTGCCACTTTATGTTGTGATCATAAAGCCACAGATGGATTTTATAAGAATCAGTCTTATTACTTTTTAGGACCTCTACGTGTTTTTCCCAGTTTTTGCATTTTTACCGTAAGATACTTGGGTAATAAGCGTGGAGTGGGACAGGGATGATTTTGCTCGTGGCGCAGTAGGAAGAAATTCTGATTTGCCAGCTGGAGAGCGAGAGCGCGCAACTCAAGGGCCAGGAGTATTTCCAAGGTGGGTCACCGGAGGAGAAAGCGCTCCACCTTCTCGCCAAGGCCCAGGAGAGCTCTGCCTGGGATGGGACTGTAGCTCGGCCACGTGGAGAGGGGGCTGCCGAGCGGTGGACGCGCACACGGGGTCAGAATCCCGGCGTGGGAAACCTAGTTGAGCTCTCCAGGGCGGGGTTTGGCAACTTCTGCCTTGGCATCCGGCATCCGGGGAAGGAAGGTGCGAGTCAGTTTCCAATTTGCGGCGGTCCCGAGCTCCCTCTCGTGCCCTTCCCTCCCGCCCGCACGCAGGGAAGCCGCCGAGAGGGGCGCAGCTTTCCCGGGCAGGCGCCGTGTCGGGGGAGAGAGGAGCGGGGGACTTGGCGGCCCGACACGCGCGGCTCCCGGCGCGAGTGGGCGGCGCGGCTGGGGTGACGGTGTGCGCCCGCACCCAGCGCCCGCCGCGTGGCGCGCGGTCCGCCAGCTCGCTCTGCGCCGGCCCAGCGGAGAGCTGCGGTCAGTGATGGAGCTGCTGCCATGACAACCGCGGCGGCCTGGGCCCGCGCGTGTTGGAGCTGCTCCCGGGAGGCCGGCGGCGCGGAGGCCGGGGGCGGCCGCCGAGCGCGGCGTCCGCGCGTCCCCGCGCC